CATCTATTCCTTGGATGGCTGTGCAGGGACTACCATGCGGTGTTGCAGAAAGTCGAACGTAAGAACTTGCGCTCAACAACTCGTAGCCGGCGTCACCGCAGAGTSTAGAACAACATTTGGCGAACTAGACCCCTTAAGAGAAATTGATGATGGTATGGTCATCATAAACGACTCCTCCGCCACGGTAACTTTGAGAGCGAGACCATTTCGCTAAAAAAAAGGTACTTACCTGGTAATGTTTCCTGATAAGTCAAGTATAAATGAAACAACCTTCGTTGACCGGAATGGCCTTCAAATAAAGGAAGCTGAAATAAAGCGTATAAATATAACCGGACATGATAACATAATGAGCTTACCTTACTTGCCGCACCGGGCGCTGGTAAATCGCCAGCTGATGGAACAGCTACCCGATGGGTATGAAAAGGATTGACAACGACGTCAATAATTCTCATGGTAATAATAATTATCGCCGTGCTTTTTTCCATAATAACATYCTATAAAAAGATGAAGCGACAGGCTGCAATAGTAAGAGTAGTAGAAAACATCACTCAGGTGTCAAGAGAAAGGTCCGAGGACGTCCTTCACTTAGGAGGGGAGGAGTTATCACGCGACGCTAGAATGTAATTGAAGGAGCCCCAAAATATTGCGTGTGGCCTGAGTCAGCAACAAGTAGCGCACTCAGAATCATGAACGGAAATAACAAGTTTTAAGTTGCATCCAAAAGTTRCGCGTGGATTGATGTGTGGAACCCAATGCTAGCGACAGACTGCAGCAGCACGACAGTGAACTGAAAATGGCGTTGTGAATCCGACCACATGAACATTTGTGAGAAAGCAGCAACGTAACAATGGCCGGCATGTACACAAAACAACATAGATGTYCATTTTGTGTCATAGTTAGTTGTTTTGTACTTGTCGTTCTGCATAATTTGATAWAACTTGTTTACTTTCAGTAAATAAAATAAACATGGAAAAGGAGGAATGTTTGAAGACAATTATTAATATTGTCCGTATTGTCAATACAGTACATGAAGTGTTCCAGGACCTCAATATAAACTCCCGAAGGTGGTGGGTTCGTCCTGTCAATATCTCACGCGAAGAGGAACGATTCTACAAAACTTGCATCAAACAACTTCAGGAAATGGATGAGGAGCATTTTTATAAAGCTACGAGAATGAGAGTTGCTAATTACAATTTATTGTTGTCGCTATTAAAGCCACGACTACCACGTTTTGCATATAGAAAACCAATTCCGCCTGATACTCGTTTGGTGGTCACATTAATGTAAGTCAATGTSAAATAATTATTACACTGGTATACTTAAACGCTTACCAATTTCAGTTTCTTGGCACAAGGATGTAATTTCAATATTCTATCGTGGTCTTTCAAACTTGGAGTTTCGACAGTCCGAAAAATTATATATGAAAYATGTGACGCTATTTGGGATGAATTGCATGATGCATATTTGTTAACACCAAACTCACACGAACTTCGAGATATTGCAAACAAGTTCTGTGTAAATACTGGAATGCCGAATTGCTTAGGAGCTATAGATGGGAAGCACATTCGTATAAAAAGCCCAAGAAATAGCGGATCGTTGTACTACAATTATAAAAAAACGTTTAGCATTGTACTAATGGCAGTGAGTGATGCTAATTACGTGTTCACATATGTTGATGTCGGTGCTCTAGGAAGCCAAAGTGACGGTGGAATATTTG